GACCCCCGACCCTCCGTCGGCAGTCAGCGTCTGTCGTTTTCCGCATCTGCGTCCACAACGGAACCGGTGACTTGGCTGCTCCTGGGGGGTTTCATTGTGTCAGGGAAGATTGTGCCTTCAACATGATTCCTATGCTGCGTTTATATTCTTTGGTTTTTATGTGGCTTGCTTTATCCCACCCTATTCCCGAGAAAATCCCATATTTGCGTTTAGAGGGGTATAGATGTTGCTGCTGTGTCGGAATGCTCAGTGTTTGTCCACTAAATGCTTGTCTCTTTTCAGTTTGGCTGAATAAAAACGTAAAGAATCTTAACAGGTGGATTGCTGAAATCTGTGAAAAATTATTTGCCGTGAAACAGCAGTTAGGTGATACTATTTCTTTGGGTGTTTTTATTTAATTTCTCGCCTTAAGTTGTTGTATCAGGTAAAATCTGCTTGTACACTTTCCAGCCACCCTCTTTCTTCGGTTTAAATCCCACAAATCATAGTTTGCACCAAACAAAGAATGTATGATTTGTTATTCATCTTCACTACTCAAGAGTTTAGAATTGTAGGCGTACAGTTAAGACTAACATTGTTTTTTGAGGTTAAGGTTCATGTAATCTGATCCTAGATTTTTTTTTATGCTTTTGCACAGCACTTGAATTTGTCACATGTATCTTTCAGTTTACACCATCTTAGAGCGCCACTAGCTTCTTTGATAAGTTTATATATCCACCATTATAGATACATTCCTTTAACCCAATTCCATTAACTTCTAATTAGCAATGTGCTCTTGGAATGATGTCATGACCAATGAGGAATTCTCTTTCAGTGTGTGATTTCAGTTTAAGTTGAGGTTTTTTTTTGTTGTTTTTTTTTAGATACTGATCACATGTTTATGTCTTACTAAATGTGTTATTCAAAATGTAAAAAAAAAAAAAAGCCCAGTTACATCAGATTAAACAGGAAGATTCAAGTACACTCTATGCAATTCTAGCTCTGTTCATGTCATCTCAGTGTTGAGCATGTGAGCAAAGCACTGACATGCTGTGAAATGAATGTACGTTCCACACAAAGTGACTTAGTTTTGTGATGTCAGTAAATTTCAGCACTCTTGAATTTTTTTCCCTCCAATACTTTACCAATACTGAAGGGGCACAACAATAATTTGTCAAAGTGTTGAGCGTAAAGTGCATCAAGTCATCAGTTGACCATGTAGATCCTTCCATATTTCATTCCAGTCAGTCAAGGTTTCTGCACAGGTTTAGGTTTTCTGTTTCAAAATGTTTGTCAACTGGTATTTTATTTTATTTGCTGGCCATTCAAATTTGACATTCCCATTATATAAGAAGGTACCAAAGATGCTTCTTGATTTTCCCTCACCACCTGTATACATTTATTTGCAAATTAAAATACTAAGAACATTAAAATGTGATTTATGTTTTTATTGTTGATAAATGATATATCAAACATGACGATAACGTAAACTAATAACTTTGCCTGCATGGTTGAGAAACAAAACTTTGAACTTTAAAATAGTACATATTATTTAAGAAAAATTAAACGGTTATATTGTGTAAATTAAGTATTAAATTAGTAAGTATATATGTGTGTGTTATTTATTTTTTATTAGTAGTGCTCAATGTTTGAACTCGATTTAACCGCGCATTGAGTGCGAACAAAACAATAAACCTTTCATTTACCGGCCATTCTAATAAAAATGAGATGTTGGTTATGATCTCAGTTGTAAAACTGAAGATATTAAATGTACCGTGTTCTTTTGTTGTTATTAAAGACCGGACCGTTAGAATTGTTTATTGTTCAGCGGGGACCTGTTTTTGTTTGTACAGGAAGTGAAATCCGTCTTTTCCGTTTGTAACCGGGCGAAGTTGAGCACGCGTACCGCGTACTGTTTTTTTTTTCCTACGGCAGGTTTAAATATAATTTCTGTTATATTCTGTCGATACAAAGCCGGAGATAATGGTAAGCCTATATCTATGTATTTTCTGAGCTATTAAATGAATTGCACACACACCGGAAGTCTGTTGACCGCTGGTTTTTATTAGTTAACAGATGCTAAGTTTCAAATTTGGCGAAATATTAGGTCCTTCATACGATTGTAAAATGACACCAGTGACTGTATTGAGACAATACGAGCAAGAGCAGGAACACCTCCAGCAATGCATACAATCTTGTGTAACTACAGCGACTGACACAATCGCTTGTCGTGTGTTAAATGAGCGTTAACGCACTCATGCTTCATGTTTCGCATAGAGACCCATTCTCCTCCAGGGCCATGAGAGGTCCATCACCCAAATCAAATACAACAGAGAAGGAGATCTCTTGTTCTCAGTTGCCAAGGATCCAGTAAGTGATAAACTACAAAGGAAAACATCCCAGTCTTGTTTTGTTGTTATGTTTCACATGTATATTGTCATCATAGATTGCGAATGTGTGGTACTCTGTCAATGGAGAAAGGCTCGGCACTTATAATGGACACACAGGTGCCGTCTGGTGTGTGGATGTTGACTGTATCCTTTCTAAAAGATCTTCTGGACTGGTGGAGCAATGCTAAATCTCGTTCATTTGTTTGTTTACTAAATCAATTTGGGTATAGGTGAATTTTTCACCTGCAATCTTCTTTACTACGAGTCATTTGTTTTTGGAAAAGTTGTTCTTAACACGTTTCAAAGGGGACACTAAGAACGTATTGACGGGATCTGCTGATAACAGCTGCAGGCTCTGGGACTGTGAGACAGGTTGGCAAATTTAGTACAATATCAAATACACATACCTC